CATTTTACTTATTCGATAGAATATATTTTTTCTTACCCCATTGTTTTCAGTCCAACAGGAGCGTCTTGGTGTGGCCGCTAACGGCACTGTCTATGCTTTATTCCCTCGCGGCTTGGCTGCAGCTGGTCCCGGCTCTCCAGATGCTCAAATTGAACAAGATGAGCTGCCCTTGACGCCTAATCAAAAGCTCATCATAATCGACCGTCAACCTTCTGGCGAGCCCGAATGGATGCTAGCTGAAACTGTGGAATCTGTAGATGAGGGCTCTTCACCCGTCGAATATCCAGTCTCCCTCGCCACCGATGAACTAACTTCCAACAGTTGCAGTGAGCTCAGCTCAGAGGCTCAGCCTTGTCTGATGCGTCGTCGTGGTCTCGTGCCCCGAGCATATATCTCATGTTACCCGCTTGTCAGAATACCTCCGGCTAGTCGCCCCATCCCTCTACTATCTGTTTCTACGGATTCCCCTTCATTCCCACATCTGACTCGCCTGAGCCTTACCCCTGCCATCTCGGCTGCCACGGTCGTCTCGATGCCCAGCTTTGGGCTTCATTCTATTGATCAATCTGCTTCAGCTATTGGTTCCATCCCTCTTGAACCAGGGGATCTTCAGATTCAACGACAACAGCAACAATTTTCTCAAACTCTAGTCCCTTTAGACTCGGCTTCTGCGAGTCCTGCAACATTTTCCATCGGGCTTGTCTGTCGGGCCATCGATGCTGATGATGAAGAGGATGCGATTGCGGATGCAGATGATTTCCACGGTGCTAATCTGGCAACTACTGCTTCAAACAAGGCATCTGAAGATATATTTAGTGGCAGAACATCAAATAATAGGTGTGAAGACTCAAAAATAGAAAATGAGCCACGGGTAATATTTCCAAGTGAGGCAAATGAGAAGACATCTAAAACGGATTTAGCGGCACGAGCTAGGCAGGAAGAGGTCAGCTCCTCTCATGGGCTTCATTCCTACATGGGGCCTGAAGACAATCATAAAGTAATTAATCTTTTTCTCTATATCGTGTCATATTTACATATTTAGGGTTTTATAGGCTTCTTTCAAAAAAATAATTGCTTGTCTGCTTTGCTTCATCAGTTGTTGTAATCGGGTTTAATGCAACTATAAGAACGCGATATTTTGCTGAACTTTGCTCTGTTCTGTGGCACTTGGGGATATGTGATATCCTTAATATGACCTCACACGGGGAAGTCATATGCGAATTTACTGACTTCTCTCTTGTTTTTATGTGCGTTGAAATTTTCGAGATCCGGGTTTTGCATTAGATGATTACGTTTCGCTTGAGAAGTCCAGCTTGTAAGTCTATGTTCTATTCACTTTATACTCTTTTATTGCATATAAAAAGGTCCATTTTTAAGTAAATTTCACTTGACATCAACAGGATTTATTAGCCAGATAAACATGATACTATTTTGTATACATGAATTCCAAGATTTTGTAGCCTTTTTCTTGAGTCGCAATCTCCTTTAGCTATTTAGTACTGGCCTATTCTCGTTTTCGCAATTTAGTCAGAGCGACAGAG